CACATTCATTTTCAATAGATACAGATCTACATCATTCTATTTGTTTATTTCAGAGACAGAATCTTGCTGTGTTGCCTAGACTGGTCTTGAACTCCTGGCCTCTAGTGATCCTCCTACCTCTGCCTCCCAAAGTGCTGGGATTACAGGCATGAGCCACCATGCCCTGCACATCATTATTTTTAATGTCTGCACAATAGTCCATTGTAGGTATGTTTTATATTAATAATTGAACTAGTTAGTTCCTGACTAATGGACATTGAGTGGGTTTCCAAATTGGGCTATTATGAACAATTCTGGATTGAACATCTTTGTGCATATTACCTTTTTGTGCTTGTAGGGTCATGCAGAAATGGCATTAAATGGTTTCCAAGATGTAGTTAAATTTAGGTTTATTATTAGGAAACTAAGGTTTTTCTTCTCCATTTTATATAGCTAAATATTGAATGTAAACACAAAAATGCATAAAATATATATGCCATTTAACACATACGCCCAGCAGCTTCTGATGTTTGGGACCATTGGTTTGAAAAGGCTGACCTGCCAGTAATTCTCTCAAAAATTAGGAAAACCTTTTCTTCTTCTAAGCTGAAATTATTGGCCCTTTTCTACAACTCTTACACCTGTCATCTGGAAATTTGGATTCTTCCTCTTAAATAGCATTACTATTGGGTTAGCTAACAGTCCTGGACTGTTGTTGACTTGCTTTCAGCACAGGGCTAATATTGACCCAGCTTGAAGGCGCTGTAGGAAGCAAATCCCATTGGAGGAGCTGCCCAGGAGTGCGGGAAACATTTTAACCTTCAAAAGTCTGGAGACAGGTATTGTCTTATTGATGGGCATTTTATCAACGCCTTCCCAAACTCTTTATTCAGCAACTTTGATAACTCTAGAAGCCCAGGGACTTCCTAAGATAGTACTAGAATGGGAAAGCAATGGTAACTAGGATTTATCTCCTACGTGCCAAAAAACCAGGATTGAGATAGTGGGGAAAAAATGGCAAAGTTTGGTAAATCTTGAGAACTGTGGGATATTATTATAGCCTTCTCTTCCCAACCTAAGGGAAGAAGAACTAACATTTTTTAAATGCCTACTCTGCCCAGGTACTTAGTTCGTAATTTTGCTCGAGTTTCATTGCAATCATATGAGATAGGTGGTATTATCATTAATTTTAGTTAGAAAATAGGTAACTTGCCCAAGAATCCAGCCAGTAAGTGGGATTTCTGCTCCCCTCCCCGCCCAGATCTATAATGACAGCAACCTGCTTTTCCAGTGTATTGTGCACTATACAGCCCGGGAAGACTGCTTTATTTACTGTGAGAAGAAGTCATCAATGGCCAGGGCCTCATGCAGCACCACCACTAAATCCAACTGCAAAGAAAACACGGAAAGGGAGCAATTGTTTTCTGTTTTCCCAAGGGGACTCCCGCCCAAGCCACGGAGGCATTCAAAGTCAGGCAGGCGAGACTCAGGGTGCCTATGAATCTTGTGAGCTGTGTTTTTTCCTGCTGATTAAGATCATGTTTTTCAGTGCTTTTGATTTTTGAAGATCACAGCAGCCAAGTCTTTTTATAACAACACAATCTAGGGCTTGGGTCCCAAAAGTTCAATATGCTTTGTCCTGACATTATCTGTTTCCTCTTCAATTTATTTGTAATGTAAACCTCACCCCATTTCTGCTGTGATCCTGGACCGTGCCCAGCCTCCAGCCGGCACCAGCTGGTTTGTCAACACATTTCTGCGGGCAATGAGGAGGGTCACAATTTTAACAAAAACCCAAACACCTCAAACAAAACCAGCCAGCCTCCCTCCCAACCCCCCTTTCCCAGCAGCTTATTAAAACTAACTTGAAGTCAGACCCATGAGCAAATGTGCCTTTTCCAAATTTGTGGCCCCAAGGCAGATGAAATGGTCAGGCATTTGCCTTTTAGGGTTGCCCTAGGAAGAGCTAACAAAAGGGGGGACAGCCCCTAAACAGCTGCTTGAGGAGGAGGACATCTGCCTCTGTTCCACAGCCATTCGGTTCTCGGCCTTGCCTTGCGAAGGGCATGTGCCGCAGGGGAGCAATAGTTCCGAGGCAGCCAGTTGTTATATGGCTTTTGTCTTAACGAAGCCACCCATTGCGGTAGAGCCATAACTCGCGGGAAGCCAGCTGCCAGGGCTGTGGCGCAGGCCCCTCTGGGTGGGAGGCAAGGGGAGAAAAAAAGTGTTTGGCCAAATTCCCTGTTAGACACCTGAGACTGGCTTGTAACCGGACAGTTTTGCGCCTTCTCCCCAATTCTGTCTTCCCTGGGGAGACCCCCGGGGCCCTTCTTGCTCTCCGCCTTGGACGCGGCTCAGGGACATCTCAGGATTCTGATTCTTGCTCTGCGACTCCCTGTGTGCGGGCTGGGCTCGGCTCCGCTGCGGCTGGCTGGCGTTTGGCGCTCTGATCCAGCGCTTCGCTTTGAAATCTACCCCCTCCTTTTTTTTTTTTTTTAAACCAGGTATGATGATGTCAAACGTGATGCTGATGCTACAGTTACAGACACAGCCCCTGCTGGCGCAGCCTCTCTGATTCTCTCTCCCTCTCCGCGTCCAGCGCTGGGCTTTTTCAGACAAGTGCATCTCCTAACCAGGTCACATTTCAGCCGCGACCCACCACCCGTCAGTCACCGGAGACAGACCGCAGGAGGAGGGCTGAGGAAGACGGCAGCGTTTGCTTCGCCAACAGCGGGGTGGCAGGAAGGACGTTAAAATATTGCAGAAGTCGAAACCCCTCAGGGCCAATCCAGACCACGATGCGCGCCCCGGGCTGCGGGCCGCTGGCGCTGCCGCTGCTGCTCCTCGCCGCAGCCGCCCTGGCCGAAGGCGACGCCAAAGGGCACAAGGAGGGCGAGACCCCCGGCAATTTCATGGAGGACGAGCAATGGCTGTCGTCCATCTCTCAGTACAGCGGCAAGATCAAGCACTGGAACCGCTTCCGAGACGTGAGTCCGCAGGGCCGCCAGGGCAGAGGGCCCGGGAGCGGGCTGGGGGAGGGAGCTTGGGGTCTGCGGGGAGCGGCCGCTGCATGTCGCAGCCGGAGGCTCCCGCAGCCCAGCCAGCTAATTGCAAGGAGAGTAAACATCGCGAGTCACAGCCCGGCGCCCCCTCCCCGGTCCCGGCGGCCGGCGGCCTTGGAACCCCCAGCCCCACACCTGCCCGGGAGAGAAGACGCGCCGGGGGCGCCCGCGGCAGGTCTCCCCTGCGGGCCAGGCGCGGAGAAGGGGTGCGGCTGCTGGGCAGGGAGGACGGCCCTGCTGCGGCTGGCCCTGACCTGCTCCCCTCCTGTGTGTGAGCCCAGCCGGGCGGATGCTGCAGGCTGCACATCTGGGGCACTGCAAACCCGCAGGTCTGGGTGGGGCCGGCGGGGAAGGTAGCATCGGCTCGCGCGGGTGCCCTCTGTTCCCACCTTGGGCTTTGGGGGAGGGGGACCGTGGCCGGGGCTTTGAGTTGGGGGTTCCCACCAACCCTCCCAAGGCGAGACAGTGGAAGGCGTGTTCGTAATGGGGGTCGGGCGACGGCGGCGAAAATGCCCAAGGCCACCTCCCTGTGGCCGCCAGAGCCAGGTCCGAGGTTCTCATGCAGAGGGGCGTGCGCACGAACGGAGGCTGGTTCTCCTGGATCAACCTTTCAGCGGGGGAGCCCAGCCCAGAGCGAGGGGAGCGGCTGGGAACTGGAGGGAAGACCCCTGGCCCCGTGGGCTTGAGCAGCAGAGCCCAGAAGCTGGGTCTGGGGGCCCCTGGCAGACGCCCGCCCGAACCCGGGCTTAACCTTGGGCGGAACTTCGGGGTTGGGGGCGGGGAGGCGGCTGCGGACGAGCCGGCGTCGCTGCAGCACTTTGTTTACCGGCACCTGTAGATCAGAGGGGAAGTCGGAGGCGGCTCCGTCCTCCCCGCGGGGAGTGGGGGAGTAGGGGTGAGGGAGGGAGGGAGGGAGGGCGGAGGGCGTGGCTGGACCCTGAGAACTGTGGGGGGCGAGTGGGGGATGGTCCGGGATGCGCCGAGGCAGACACAAGCTGGTCCCCGCGACCTGGTGCTCGCGGATGCCCTGACCCCGGAAAGCCTCTTCTGCGACCCCAGTTCCTACTCCTCAATCCCCAGATTCCTGATCAAGACAGGCCACCTGGTGCAGCACAGGCCACACATGACCTTTCTCGTTTTCTCTTCTGCCGCATGCATCCACAAGTTCCTTAGAAATTTGTTTAAAACGCACATGCTTCATACGACATCCAGCCAAGTGATGGGAAGAGGCAGAAATAGAGGTATTTTTGTTATCGTGAAACAAGCGACTGTTTCTCCAAAGTCAAATTGGCAGGTTGTAATTCATAGAGGGAAGGAGGAACTGCAGGCAGCCAGGTCCCCAGGCTGAGTGGCCTGGGCCCCTCAGTGGGCTGCTGGTGTCCGTCTTTGCCCCACCCATGGATGGTGCGGCGAGGGAGCTGGAGCCCCAGCAAGGCCTCCCCGAGGCACCTGCAGGCCCAGCGCAGATTAGCTGCAGTCTCCTGCCGCTGCCCGGGCAGCAGCCCGACAGAGCAGCGAGGGGGCGGCAGCGGGCAGGCCTATCCAGAATCCATGTGTCACCGGTCCAGGCCTCCCTCCGTCTCTCTGGCTGTTTGATCTGCCAAAATGGTGAAGGTCAGAGGGAAAAGAAATGCTTAATCAGAACAGTAAAGGTTTCAAAACAAAGGATTCTTCCCCACCTCCGTTCTCCCACCTGCTTCCAATAGCCAACTCTGCGGGTGAGAATAAATGAGTTACTGCTTGACCCCCCTGGCACAGGGCTGCCCACCTGTCTCCCTGTACTGGTGCCAACCGCTTCCTCCTTCCTCCCCTGCTCATCAGAAAAAAGGCACTAGATTTGAAATTCTGCAAGACTCCTCCCTCACCCCCCTCAAGATTCATGGAAAGCTTTAGGGCATGTATTGGTTTTGGTGGCCTCAGGTTTTGTAGGGCAGATTTCCCCTAATCCCCATTTAAGGTAGCCCTGGCTGCAGGAGGACAGGGGCAGGGAGAGAAGGAGGACAAAGAAGGCTGGGCAGGAGGGTCTGGCCCTGGGGATCGGTTGGCATCTTCTGGAGAGAGGCAGGAAAGAGGCTGCCAGCTCAGAACCACTGCATTGCATAACTCTAGGGGTGCCATGATGTGAATGGTGCCCCCTGGAGTTGTGCAGTTCATAGACCGTACATAGGGACCCTGCCAGCACTAGATGCTTCTCATCCCTCCTCTGCCAATAGAAGCCCTACTTCCCATCCTGAGGCTGAAGGTCCTCCAGATGGACACAATAGCAATGGGCTTTTCTTTCTTTTTAAAAAAAGAAACATATTTTAATCATTTATTTATTTTTGAGACAGAGTGTCGCTCTGTCACCTGGGCTAGAGTGCCGTGGCATCAGCCTAGCTCACAGCAACCTCAAATTCCTGGGCTCAAATGATCCTCCTGCCTCAGCTTCCCGAGTAGCTGGGACTACAGGGGCATGACACCATGCCTGGCTATTTTTAGTAGAGACGGGGTCTTGCTCTTGCTCAGGCTGGTCTTGAACTCCTGACCTCAAGGGATCCTCTTGCCTCGGCCTCCCAGAATACTAGGATTATAGGCATGAGCCACCATGCCTGGCCGCAATGGGCTTTATATACATTTCCATTAGGCCAGTTCTTTTGAAAATATGGTCCTTGGCTCCTTGAAAAAGAGATAGGAATTCCTTCTGAATCCCTAAGGGGTTGCCAGCTTGAGCCAGCACATCATTCATAATCGATCACAAAATGGCACAGGGCCCCCAGATTGCCTTGGTATTAGGGAAGCAGGCAGGAGGAGTGGGATATTCTCAGGGAATGGGAGTGAAGGAGTCGGTAGTGTGGGTCAGGGAAATGTCTCATCACAGGGGGTCGATGGAACTAAGCAGGGAAGTCAAGGGAATCGTGTTGCAGGGGTCAGGAGAAGGAGGAAGAGGAAGGAAACTTGGGCTTTGTTCCAATTTGGATTGCTCAGACTGGTTGGGAGGGAGTTCGGCTTGGCATTCTTTCTCTGAGCACCAGGATTATAGGGAAGGCAGGATTTACCAGTTGAGTAATCCTCCCCTCCAGTGGGCACAGGCTCTCACATCCTGTGCCTGGTGCCCTGCTGCCAGGGAGGAGGGAATGCGTGTCAGAGAAGACGGGCAGGTGGTGGGCTCAGCCTGGCTCCCCGGCCTACAGAGCTAGCTGTGCCCAGCCCTGGGCAGTTCTGGGCTTTTCGGAGCCCTGGTCCCTGATGCTCCTATCTCTGAATTCACGCTCTGCAAAACCGCGCAGAATTTTATGCCAATTTTATGCTTTGGAACAAAGCATCCAGGGGCCTCTCACAGAGATGGACACTTGAGAGGAGACAGGCCCGTTACGCAGCGTTCTTCAGGGCAGGTTCCAAAGAGCTTGGCTGGGAAGAACTGACTGTTCTCTTTCTACTTGGCTCTTCTCTCCACTTCCATTAAATTTTAATTATGAGTGCCAGCACAGAGCTCGGCACCCGGGAGGCCTGCAGCTAATATATGTTGAATCACTGATTGCAGTGAGTACTCACACCTACCAGTCCCCGCAGTAAGCACTGTGTGTGCATTGGCTTCTGTGCCTCTTAACAACCTGTGACATAGGTAGTGTTACTTTATAGTCTACCCATTTTATGGTTGAAGAAACTGAGGCACAGAGAAGTTAAGTAACTTACCCAAGGGTCAACAAACAGCTACTGAGTGGCAAAGCCTGGATTTGAATCCAAGTCATCTAACTCAGCTTTGCTTTTTAGGGAGCTCTAGGCCTAACTCCTAGTGAAAGTGAGAAGGAAGGGTCCACCCTGCAGAGCAAAATCTTCCCTGGCTGTATCCTGTGAGTCTCCCAGGATGCCCTGGGCAGGAGTGGCACCTCCTAGGAAGGTGGGCCAAAGTGCCCAGTGTCTCCAGCTGCCTGCCTGGAGACGAGGCAGTGAGTGGACTAGCAACACTCCAAAGGCAGCTCCCCACCCAGGAGAAGCTGGAGTGCGGTGTGCCAGGACAGCTCTGGCCTGGGGTCAGGTCCTGGCTCTGCCACTGACTGCCCATGGGATGCCAGGCACATCACATAACCTCTCGGAGCTTCAGTTTCAGACACATGAAGGCGCCTTGTCATAGGGCTGGAGGCATGCATTTCAGGTAATACCCCTCCCCCCCGCCAGAGAAAAACCACCAGATGTATCATCATTTCTGGGCCCAGCTCCCCCCATGCCTCAGTCCCCATGAGAAAGATGTTACTGTATGTTCAGTCATTCACCTGTTCACTACGTATCTGAGCACCCTGCTATGCTAATCCAGGGATATTATTACCTGCTGGCTACATACGATTCTCATGTTTTCATGAACACCAAGTAAGCAAGTAGCAAGTATTAGCCACAAAGCAGCTCCCCTATTGCCACCCCTCCCTCCTTCCTACCCCACACACCCAAACCAATGCAAGTGTTGGGACGAGCTGCACCAGTGCTTTGGATAAGTGTGGGTGTGTGTGAAGAACCCAAAAGTGGGTCAGAATGGTTTCCATAATGGGAGTTTGGGGATGGGACGGTGGGTCCTTCCCTGGCTTCCTCCTCCACCTGGCTTTCTAACTCCTCTCCCACTGGAGTGGTGTCAGCATGGTGAGGGACTCTTGAGCACGCAGGCGGACTCCAAGGCTGGGAGGAGAGGGAGAGAAGAGCCCTCTTTGCCTGGAGAGGCTGTCATGTGCTCCTCTAGTCTTCCAGCAGTCTGAAGAGGATGGAAAGCCAATCTCCAACCCCCATTCTTCAGAGGATCAGAAAGCTACCTGGAGGCCTAGCACAGCCCTGTCCTACCCCAAGCCCCAAGGGCCCGAGGGAGCCTCTGCTCATCTTCCTAGTGAGAAGTCAGAAGTAGCTGTCTGACCCTGGGGCAGCCACCTCACCTTTCTGGTCCTTGATTACCCCGTTAGTTGAAA